TATGGAATTTTCTTTGACCAATGCAATATAATGCTCCTTCCACATGTACCCTAAAGTGTTTGTTACGTCCTGGAGCTTTTAAAGATACTGAATAATCTCCCACCTAAAAGTTATAATATTTATAATGCATAATTCAAATGTAAATATTACTATACTTAAAAAAAGAAGAAAAAAAAAAGAATATGTAGATGTAAATAAATGTCTAATTTGTTATTGTTAACAGAATAATGATTTAAATAAACTACTTTAAATATATATGCATTGTATTAATTACATTATTTTAATTTATACTTACATTAGTTTCACTATCTCTAATTAAAAAATCACCATCATGACCATGTTGATTCAGTAACGTGTCACATTGGGATCGTGAAATGCTACCATAGTACCAAGGTTTACCAACAAGATGTGGTCTATCACCAGGATCTGGCCTTCTTTCAAGAGAATCTCCTGTGCTAATCTCACTACTTGTCATTCCTCTTTCACGATATGGTTGTGTCAAATATTCACTGAGTTCTTGAAGATAATTACGTGGCACTAGACCTATTTGACCTTGACTATTTCTTGCTTTATACCATTCAGGATCTGCTGGTGGACGGTCAAGGATTTCTAAACGATCACCTTTTTCAAAGGATAGTTCTTGATCATTATTGGAAGAAAATGAATATAGTGCCACAACAATATCAAGAACATTTTCTGCCATTGCATATGTATGAAGAGTATCATCTGCATCTCCTTCTTCTTGAGTATAATTTGATGGAAACCAGCCTGCTTGTGTACCACTTTGACCTCTCCACCAACCATCATTACTCTTTTCTAATATTAAGATTCTAGTGCCTTTGACAAGTGATAATTCATCCGCTTGTTGTGCTTGATAATTGTATTTGACAACTGCTGTACCTATTGCTTCACTTGGATCAGCAGGTAAACGCCTAGCCATAATAGGAGATTCCACAGCTCTGGATGGTGAATTACTGGATGGTAAAGTTTTTGAACCAGAGCCCTTTTTGACTTTCTTTTTAATACTGTCAAAAAGAGATGGTTTTTCCTTCTTGACATAATTACTTGGCACATAGCCAGCTTGGCCTCTTGCACTTTGTACTCTCCACCAATGTTTAGAATCATCAAGAAGCAAATAACGTTCATTTTTACGTAAATCTAACTCCTGAGCACCTTGTGCTCCATAGTCATACTTGGCGACAACATAGCATACGTCGTCTTGACTTGTCTTGCCTGAAAATGATCACAATACCTTTTAGATATTAAAATTTTTAATAAAAATATAATATTTTCATGATATAAATATTTAATTAATACATAAATTTGATTAATATTAATTTTAATTTTCAAATTTAATATTGCAATAAGCTTTTAGAAATGTACAATTTATACGTTGTAAACAATTTGTAAAATTAAAATTTTATGTTTTTTACATTTATCATATAAATATAAAAATTAAGTTAAACACAACATATATACAATTTAAAAATATTCAATAATAATCATGATCATGATTGGAAAGAAAAACACAATTACTAAAATTTAGAAATTAAAAAAAAATCAAATAAATACAAAATCTGTCATTAACCAATTTTTAAAACAGAAAATAAACTAATGGAATTAAACTGTTGTTCACTGATAATCTCCAACTATCATCCTTTAAATAGACAATATGAAGTATAATAATTATATTGTAGTATTAAAAACAATAACTACATATAAAATTATCTTCATAAGTAAATATTTATCAATATTATTTAAAAAATGTATTAATGATCAATGTAGAATATATAATAAAACATATATTTGTATTTACAACTTATATATGTTTCCTATACATTTTTACAATTATTTTCTATAAAATTCCTAATCTATAAATATATAAAATCCTCAGTTATAAATATATACTTATGAATATATAAAACTCACTAAAAATATAATTACAGACAATAGTTTCTATGTATAAATTATTATTATTTATATACTTATATAAAAAATTATTTAAAATTTCTCAATACTTCGCTATTATCATATATTTTCAAATATATATAAAATATAAATTAAGAAATATAGTTTAAAGAATATATCAATTATCTCTTTTTGATAAATTATAATGATATGGCCATTAAAATAAATTTACATACAAAGCAAAGCATACAAGAATAAAACGTACCATGCTTCATGGCTGCCATGTGCGAAAACAGATATATACGTCTGAGTGTGGCGTGAGTAGCTGCTACTCACGCACTACTTGCATAAATGTTAAGTCTGCTTGTTCTGTGTCGGCGGCGTGAGTGCAGCAGGCATTCATTCTTTAGCTTTTTGTTTAGTGTTGATATACCTGCTGATTTCTTTGCTCAGAGTCCATCGTTCTCAAGGGTAGGGCAAGCAAGTGCATTACCAACACTTTAGGAAAAATGAAACAATCATTAACTTGACATCATATATATTCTAAAATACAAAATTTTGATATATCGCCAGGAACATATAATGTTACATCTTCACCTAATTTTATCGTATCATATCCATATACATAAAATATGCATATAAATTTGTAAAAAAAATTTATTTGTTTTTATAAACAGTATAAACATTTTATTTATATTAATTATTTTTTTAATTTTATTACTTTACCATCGAACAGTTGTTAAATTAAATGTTTTTGATATACATTATATAAATAATAAATTTTATGTAATATATAAAGGAATATTTATAAGTTCTTCAAAAATGTTATATCATATTTTGACATTATACTATTATATTTAAGATTTTAAATATGAAATATAAAAACTAAATTATATGTAGAGAATTGATAAAATATACATGCAATTATTTTATTTTTGTGACATTTACTTTATTACTATATGTACAGAATTTATCAAATTGTTGATTTTGAAAATAATTCAATAGAAATAATGAAATTATTCATGCGATATCATGTAGAAATGTCAATATAGTTCTATGAACCAACTTTTTGCATAAATAAAATAATGTTAGAATATATAAAAATATGTATAAAAATGGATTAACATATTTATTTTTTAAATAAAGTTACTTATTACAAGAAAAATATATTAAATCATAAATATTAAAAATGTTAAAATCATATATATAATATACTTTAAACATATTTTTAAACTAAATATATTTTTGTATGTATTTCTAACAACAAAATTTACTTAAGAATGTATAAATACTATTTTCTTTTATTATTGTTTGATAAAGAGAACATTAAACATTTATGCTATCTACAATATATCACAAAGTAAAACTATTTAAAAAAATATACAAAATGACACATTGTTACTAAAATCTTTTAAAGAGGAATAAAATATTAATTGCAAATGATAATTATAATAAAAGATTCATAAAAAAACAAAAACCTCTGAAAAAAATAAGTAAAATATCATTAAACATCTTATTTAAATAGGAAAAATACGAACAGAAACTTATATGAAAAAACTGGAGAAAACAAACGTAATATTATTTTAACTATAGCTTATACACTATACAATTTGGCAAACGTCATAAATGATGATTCGATAAAACACGCGAATGTATCATCCATCGTGAAATATTTACATACGCAACAAAATGCGTATACAAGAATTGAAAAATTATTTCCTGATCCCCTTCACGCAAACCTTGAACGAGAATTGCTAACTTTCGAAGCACGTATATAGAGTACGTTCATTGCCTTCTTGCCTACCATACTACAAAAGCAAAGTAGAAGCGTGTTGGATGCAAAGGGGCAACAACTAGCACGAGTCAACTCAGCCGCTCGTTTTATTATTGATGAAATACGATAATTCGCCGCTTTGTTATTAAAAATGACAAATAAATACTAACTTACCGATTTTTAAACTTGACATATTCTTGCATACAAGCTTCAAAATTTTACGTCGTTATACAGCTTGTTTTCCCCCACCCCGGGCCGTAGCCATGAACGGGAGCGACTAGAGTATATAGGGGATTGAATCTTTATGGGGAATCGGGTCGAATGAAGGGGGGACCTGGAAATTAGGGAAAGTTTTTTTTTAAAGATAGCACGAATCGTAGAGAACTCCATCCACCAAGAGGTTTTGGCCACTGTTTCGCTGTCAATGATCATTGAACACAAAAATACAATATCGACACTTTTACCCACAGTGTAAATCTTCACAAATACGTACAACGTATAAATAAGATCTGTATAGATATTATTTTGTTCTTTATTACAAGACTCCTCCCGCAAAAAGAACAGACCCACCCTTAATTCAAAGATGTTGAACGACCATGCGCGCTACTAAGATTATCTTCTCTATAAACTTGTATCTAAAGCGACGCTGGCGCCATGATATGAAATAATATTTTGATATCTTCACACATATAATCGATAGGTTATCTTTTAATTTTTATTATTTTGATCTGTATTACTTTTATTATTTGTTAATTATTAGAAAATCAGAAACGAAAAATTATATGTAATTAATACTGATTCTTTAATTTAATTTTTAATGTTAAATAACAGTATTATAATTTTTCATTATAAAGTTCATTCTCATGAAGTTACATAGTAATAGTTATGCTCTTTCCACAAAGTGGGTTAATTCAGAGATCTACATTTAAGTCAAACAAATTCATAAGTGTAATAAAAGTTTAGGCTGTATGTGACATGTACGTATAGTCACAATCTCCATAAATTTAATATCAAGTGACATTTAAATATATAGAAACATACGTTATCTACAATTAACATATTCATGTTGGTATTCTTTATATTTACTAATGTAGTAACAACAAAAATATATAAAAGTTTAAAAATGAATTACGTATAAAAATATATTTCATAAAAAATAAGAGAGGTCGTAATGTTGACAATTAATGGATTAGTATATTTTGGCATTATAAAATTAAATTATATTCTATTTATAATATGTTACATTTAATGAAAAAATACTTGAAAACTTAAAAAAGTTTTACATTAATAACATTAAATTATTTTATAATTTCGAATAATGGACAGCTTACCTGATTCATTCAAAGGAGAAGTAGATTCTGTTACATCAACAGATTCCTTGCAATTAATAACTGATGAATTCCATATTAGGCATTTATCAACTCCAGATGTTTCAAATATAGAATTATCAAAACGTGTTGCATTATTAGAATTAGAAAATGAAAGACTGCGAATAGATTTAGAAAATATACGTATTGAACTCAATGCTAGAATTGCAGCTAATGAGGGTCTAAAGGGTAAAATAACAGAATTGTATGTAGAAATGCAGTTAGTAGTTCAAGAAAAACAAAAATTACAAAATAATTTAACAGATCTAAATAATCATTTAGATGCATCAGAAGCATCTATGAAATGGTATCAATCTCAAGTGCATGGTTTACAAGCAAGCAAAAAAACTTTACAATTAGAAATTGATACCTATCAAGGTATTTTGCAAAAAAGGCAACAAACTATAGCAAATATAAATGCTAGATATAAACAATTGAACATGGATTATACTGAACTTCTACAAAAACATCAAAAAGAAAAACAAGATTTAGAAAATGAAGTGCAAAATTTAAAAACACAAAATCAATCAGACACTATGTTGGAATCATTAAATATCAATTCATCTAATTCTCCAGATATCTGTACAAAGTTAGAATTGACAGAAGATGAATTACGGGGTACAAAAGCAGAATTAAAGACATTAGAAAAGCGACTTTTAGGCAATGAAGTTTCCAAAGCATTGTTGGAAAATGCTTTAGCTAAACAACGTATATTAATTACAACTATGGAAGAAAATATGCAAAAATGTGAAACTAAAAAAAATCAAACTGCTGATACACTACGTAAAACACAACTTGAAATTCAAAAGTTAAAATCTGAGAACGAAGCATTGCAGACTACTCTGTTTTCTTCCAAACAGGAACAAAGTCAGATAGAAGATGCAATATTCCAGCTACGATTACAGTTAACTAAAATGATTGCTCAGTACAAGCTTCTGAAATCCAAAAATGTAGAAGCAGAAGAAAAATTAAATTCAATGCAAGATGTAATAAATGAAAATAAACGTTTAAAAACATTGTCATATGAAGCCAACACTACTTTAATTAGGAAACTTAGGCAAGAAAAACGCAAAGTTAAATGTTTAGAAAATAAACTTCTTGGTATTCAAACAAAGGGATATTTAAGTAATATGGTATAAAATGTTTCTTATGTCTAGATAAGATTAAAATATTTTAATAATGAGATTATATGTAATTGTTTTATAACTATTTTATTTTAGAAAAACAAGATGGAAGTTTCTTTACATGAGTGCCTAAAACAGGTTTTAATAAGAAATAAAGTAATTTTTACACTCAATTGTTCATAATCTTTTTACTTTTTTTCAAATAATCTGATATTAAACAAGTTATTTTTTCTTACAGGATTTAAAAGACCAATTGAAGGCACTAACAAAAAACTCAGATGAAAGTATTGATGAAGGATATGGTGATAACAGTATTGCTAGTTCTATTTCTATAAACATTCCATCACCCAAATCTATTAATCCAGTATTATTAGATGCAATTTCTAATATTTTGCTGCAATCTAAGGATTTTTGTAAACCAATACAAACAGAACTTGAACATCTAAAATTAAAACTTAATAAATTACAGCAACAATGTACTACATAGTATTTAATTATTTTGTTAAGTATTAACTATTTTTAATTATTTATAATTTTATCGCAAATTATATATCATAACATTCATAGGAAACGGTGATTGGTTATTGACTTTATATATTCATTCCAAAATAATTAAATTGTAAATATGTTAACTTAATTTTATAATTGTTACAAATGTTTTAAATTAAAAATTTATTTGTACAAATGTTTTATCAAAATTAACAAATGAACATTTTTAATAGAAGATAAAATATTCTACAATTTTAAATATATAGTAAAATAAGAAATTAATTTTATTATTTGTTGCATATTTTTAAAATAAATATTAATTTAAAATTAGAACAAATATATGAATATATTAATATTACATATATCTATAAAATATTATTTTTATAATAAATACTCATGTTAGGTTCTTTTAAATGAATGAATAATAAAACTAAACATTTTATTTTACAAATGTAATAAAATATTGTCAAAATATTCGAATGTTTGAATATAGATGTTTTGAAAACATATACACTAAATAAAAAATATAGTTAACAAAAATTATTTAACTTAAATATTAATTATTTCAATCTGTAGGTACCTATTTACCTAGGGTAAAAATGTACTAGAAATAATGTTTTAACTAAAAAGGATAATATTTATTGTTTTGATAACATTATAACACAATATATAATATGACAGAATTTTTTTAATTGCAATCTAGTGGTTTATTTCACATTTTAAATACATTATGTTTATTTAAATAATTCACTTTGTTCTAGTGTAATGCTGAATTCGTGAAATAGAAATTATAATATTGAAATGAATATTATAAATCTTTAAAATAATGTTTTATAATTAATGATTAAACATACAATGTTCATAAAGCATGCAATGATTTAATTAATTGTATATTTTAAATTAATTATATATTATTTAAATATATAAAATTTACTCTTTTTTATTTATTTATTTTTTTTAATAAAATATATATTTTCTAGAGAATGCCAAATCTAGAAAAAGTCAATAATAAGCAATTTTAAGCTTTTAATTTTTAAATTTCGTATAATAAATATTATGGATCAGAAACTTTCAAAATTTACTAATGCTTTGATAAGTTACAATAGTTATATTTCATTATACTGTAATATGAGTTATATATTTAAAAAATTGCAAAACAATAGTAAAGTAAATAAAAGATCAATAATGAAAGACTACAAATACAAGAGTATATTAGATTTTTTTTGTTAAGCAGTTTATAACATATTTTGCATTAGTAATTTCAAGAACACTATAAACATTACTTTCATAATTAATTTTATTTTTAATTGGCTATACATTATAATTTTATTCATGGAAAAATTTTTTTGTTTATTGCAATTAGTATTTGCTTAATATTAGTGCAATTTAAAACATTTTTCCATTGAATGTTTTTATTACATTGGTAAGAAACAAATATCAATATTACAAAGATTCTATATTAATAAACACACACTGAACTCTCAATTTTTAATTTTTAGCATAAATATTTATGTACATACATATTTATAAAATAAGCGTAGTAAAAATTGAATTATAGTTTTTGTTTAAAATATCACAGACAAATATAATATCAATATGAAAAAAGAACAATAAAGTTTTACTGAATTAAATATAGTTCTTTGGTACAGAAAAATAAATATTATATAAAATCAAAATAATTTTAAAAATAAAAAAAATGTTTTTTCAAACTGATTTTAGAAATGTATTTAATTTATTAGTTTTATTTCATTCTGTTTCTTAAAGAATGCAATTTCAACAAGAATACAGAAATATTTACTTTATTATTTAATATAATAAAAATTTTAAGTTATAATGAAGTTAAAAAATTGTTACAAAAACAATTTTTTACAGTGTTTAAATTATTTGCTGTATTAAATATGACATAAAAAGCGAATAAATACATAATGTTGATTTCATTACAATTTTCACACAGTTTCTTGTTCATTTTTGTTAAAATAAATTAAAAAATCAATGTACTTTATATTAATTTAAAGTGTATGAAGTTATTACTTCATATTATTTAAAACATAAGTTGCAAAATATATATGAAATTACTGTATTTTGTATTTGTTTAAAAATATAGACAGTAACTGATATAACAAGTTTTCATAATTTTATAAGTGCTAAAATATTTATTATTTATAAAAGCATTTTCTATTCTATTTTTGGAGATCATAATAATCTTAATAATATATAATTAATATCAAATTTTTTGTTACTTTAAGAAACTCACATTATTATAATAAAATTAATATCTTAATTTATTTTAATTGGAATGATCTAATTATTTTCATTTCTCTGTTTCTTTTTTTAATTTTTTCTTATTTTATGTATTATCCTTTATAAATATCACAATCACAAGGAAGATTTTTTTATACATTAATAGAACCTTCTTTTGCACACAACAAAGAAATATTTACAATAAATTTCTTTTAACAAGACATTTGAAAATAAGATTAAGGAAACAAAGTACAAATAAATTACAAAAATTAAAATCTTACAGTTTTTGAATATAGATATTATTTGCCTGCAGAAAATATTCTGCAGTTAAAATATACTAATGTGCAGTGTTGCTTACATCATTTCTTGAACAGTGTTTTTTCAGAAGTAGTGGTTGATTCATGCATTAAACCAAAATTCTCAACTCTTGAAAGGTATATTTCATATGTTAAACTTGATATATAATAGTATTACATACATTTTCTAAAGATTTACATTGCTTCTGAATGTATGCATAGATCAAGAATTAAATTTTTGATTCCTTTAAAAGGAATAAACAAATATCTGTTTAAACACTGATCCATGTCTGCTCTATTATATAGTACGATCTATATTATTAATAAATATTTCTATAGAAACGAGTATTATAAATCATGGAATTTAATTGAAAATGATTAATTTGAAAGTGATACATGTTACTTTTATAATGCTTTGAGACCATTAAATTTTAAATGACTGGTATAAAATATTTTTAGTATAACATTTTGATTACACAGTTTTCTTTCTCTTATTTGTTCATAATATGCCACAGTACTTACAGCTCTGTATACATATTTATATTAAAAAAAAAGAAAAAAACTAACTTTGTACGATTGTAGATCGTTTAAAAGAGCACCATGGCTTCAGTCTACACAGACAGTCCTTGGAAGTTTCAACATATCCCATATCTTATGCACTAATGCTATTCATATTATTGTATACATTTAGCAAAATAGGAGACCAGACAGTAAATAGTTTATCTCGAACCCATTGTCATCTGGGAGTAGATTCCGTCTGCCTAACTCTGTCAAACTGACGACGATAATGAGCTCGTCCACGACCTCTATTTCGATGACCATGATTATTATGCCTATCGTAATTATGATGTAGTTGTCTTGATTGATAGTGGGCATGATTCTGTGTCGGATGTGAGGATTGTTTTGATTGTGGCATTTGCTAAAGGAAATGTTTCATCATTAAACCATTTTATATACAATATCCATTGTATATTAATAAAATAAAAAATTCAATTTTTTAAATAAAAATGATAGAAATATATAAATATCCTTCCATTATAGTTAAATTATTTATATAAAAGTTTCTTATAATGAATATCTAATGATTTAATAACATTTTTTTAAATATAATTAGAATGTAAACATACCATATGATTAACAGGTTGCAGAGTTTGATTTGAATATGCATTTAAACTGGTTCCTGGAGGATTGAGTCCTTCAGTAGTAGCACCAGATTCATCTTCTGTTCTAACCAATGTTTTTACACCTTCAGCTTCTAAATCAATTATACCACCCCTTTCTTGTTGTCTTAAAAATAAAGCTGCCATTTGTTTTTGTAACTCTCTTAGCTCTGCAGTCACTGAAAAGTCTATAGCAGCTTCAACATCAATTGGCGGTGGAGCAGACCACAAACTTTCTACATCACAATTAATGGATTCTCGACAAACAGGACATATAGCCTAAAAAATGTGTTATATTTATTTTATTTTCTATTCATAATATAAATTATAATAAAAATATTAAATATAAAATATACACACAATTATATTAAATTATGAAAGATAAATAATGATGTACCTGAAATTTATTGGGAGCATCTTGTTGCCACTGTGGCAATTTTTCTTGCTCTTCTCTATAATATCGTTCTGCAGCAGCAACATGTGCTGCTAAACAGTGTGAATGAAAATAATGATAACATTCAGTTTTTGTAAATTCATCTCCTTCCCGAAAACCATACAAACATATGGCACACTGATCAGTTGGAAGATTACTTCTTGTAAGATGTTCTCTTATTAACTGTTATAATAATATCACATTAACATATGACATAACATATAGCCAATAAAACAGTGGTTGTTAAATAAGTAACTACTATAAGTAAAACACATAATATATAATATAATAACATCTATAGCAAGCAATAAATATAACAATACAAAGTTTGAAGTAATTCTGGTGTTAAATTTAATAACCATTTAATAAACTTTAAATATGTTACTTATACATACATTTTATTTAATGTATAGGTCAATGTATACTTCAACATATTTTATTATTTTTAAATGTATTAATTATATTTTACATACAAATTGTCTCCAATTTGTAATACATACCTCAATAAGTTCAAACATAACTGGTTGACCTATGAAATCCTTACATTTTGCTTCTGCATCTGACTGCATAAGCCTCACTGTATTTTCATCTAAACCTCTGGGATTTCTGAGACTAATAGTAGGTGATATATCAGGATATCCCACAGGTAACTGAACAATCAATGTTACACAAACATACTGAGACTGTGAATCTTCACCAGTTGAAGGAAATAACACAGTTTTAATACATTCTGGTTCACCTCTGAAAAAAGTACTGATTTTTTACAGCACATTCATGAAAAGAAATTATTAATAATTTTATATATATAATTGTAGATCACAATTAAGAAATCAGTATTCTAAGATTAATTACATGGGAAACACAATATAAAAGCATATATAATTTATAACCATAATTAAAGATGCCTGCATTATAAGAATTTACAAAAATATAAGTAAATAATAAAGTAACGAAAGTAGATCAAAATAAGTTTGTTCAATATTATCTCATATTGTACAATATATATATATAGATATTAAAATAATTAATATGATTATTATATAATATAGTATAACGTAATACTATTCTAATAATATGTAATATATATAAAATTATTTCTCAATTTTAATTTCTCAATGTTACATATTTAATAGTTTTTTCCAAAATTTAAATAATATTTTAGCATCTTAATAACTACTAACAATATCTTTTTCATTATATTATTAGTATTGTTTTATTTATACATTTATCATGTAATAATACGTATGTTACACATATAATTAATGATATAAGATAAATTTATGTATTATTGTATATATATATTTAAATTTTAAATGAAGATTATTATATCTTATAATAATAAAATTTTTGTAAGGCTTATGGGTGTGGCAATATTATTATAATTATTAAATTCAAACTAGATATTGGATAAACAATATATTAGATTGTTTCTAAAGGGAATATCATAAATATAATATTATTTGTATACAATTAACAAATATAAGAAACATAATTCAAAGTATAAAAAATATTTATTACAATATATCACTATGCTGAAATTTAATATAATTAAGTTAAAATAACTCTCTTTATTTAAAATTCAAATATATTTTAATTTTAAATAAACATTAAAAATATTTATTGAACTTTCAAATGATCAATTCTTACTCTATACTGTTAAAATTTGGTCTTCCTTAAATATTACATATTTATCTCATATCAAATACATTATATTGAGGAAAATAAATATTTTTGTTACAAATTACATTTTTAACAGTAAATTATCTTTAATTTAAAATGATTGGAGATCTTAAAATAATGATTTATTTCAATTATTAGGTTACAAGCATTGGACTTTTTAAAGAAAGTACTTACCTGTCATTTTCCTTTATATTTAACTCGTCGTCAAGTAAAATCGCTTTTAATGCTTCAATTTCATCAGTTACTCTATAAAATATTTTAATATATTATAAAAAAATGAATATTTATCGAAAAACTACTAATATAACATCCTATAAAAATTACCTTTCATCTATTAATGTTTCTGACATTGTTTATAGAATATGTAGTAATATAGTTTATCTTGTGAAAATCACTTCGAATTTGACAGCAGAATTTTTTCAGTCTTTGACGATTACAGGATTCTCGATAAGCGTCAATGTGCGTCAATATTGAAAGCCTTCTGCTACTATTACTGCTACCAACCGGATTACTTTAGAATTATTGGTAACATATTACCGCTGTTACTAAAGAAAATTTCACTAAGGAAAATGATTTAATTTTGTTTTCTTCAACAGCAAAAAAGTTGTTAAATACTTTTATTTTTTTTTTGTAATAGATATTTTTAACATAACAACATATATTTTACTTATATAACATATTTAAATATATCATAACAAATTTTGATTATATTTAGTAATTTTAATAAGATTAAAACAAATTTTCTTAATCTTTACATGTTGCTAATTGTAATTAATATATTCTAAGATAAATCGTATTTAACATAAAATTAGTAATTTAAATAAATCATTGAATATATGTAAAACTTAAATTATCACAGATATATGTTTAAATATACCGAAATAAAGTTGGAAAATCAGAATTTATAATAAAATGATAATTAAAATGAAATGATAAAGAAAATTGAATATATTAGTAAAATTTTAATATTATATGAATAAAATTACTAAAATATTTAACATGATTAATTGTGTTAAGATTGTAATATGTAACTATTTTTAAATATTATATTCAATTATTTATATTCATGTACATTCAATTATATTTAAAAAATTTTTTATATGTATAATCGATATAACGAAATATATCGATTTTGTATTATGCGTGTTCACTTTTGTTATCATATACATAACCTCTCATTGTTACAATTTGTCAACGTACGTAAATTATAATAAAATCAATAGATTTAAGTTATTTTTTATATAACAACATACCATTATGCCAGAAAATAAAGAAGAAGAAAAACCTGTTGTTGCGAAGACAGCAATTGATTTGCAACGACTAAAACTTCAAAAATTAATGAAAAATCCAGTAAATACACATTTAAAAATATAAAAATATTATTTTTAGTTATATTTTTTCTTGTTTTTTATCGTTAATACATATTAACAAACAAAATTGAATAATATTCATAATGCACAATTGTAAAAAAGTATAAAGTCAAATTAAAAATTACAATATTGCAAAGCTAATAACTACTTTATGGTTCTGTTAAATAAATTTTTTATTTTGCATTATTCTTTAAGAAACATTTAGATATAAGTTCATATGAATTTTTTATATGATTATTGTATCTTTGATGTATTTGTTTCCTAATATAACATGTGCATTAATTTAATCCAAATGTGATGAGATACATTGTATTAATATTATCAAATGTTTAATTATTCACTGTGATAGGAAAAGCCTATTATATTACCAGAACGGTCTAAAGCTAAGAGCACACCTACTGTACCAGAGTTTGTTCGTAATGTAATGGGTAGTAGTGCTGGTGCTGGTAGTGGAGAATTTCATGTATACAGACATTTAAGACGTAAAGAATATGCACGACAAAAATTTATTCAAGAAAAGGGTCACAAGGTAACATTTAAACAATTGTGAAGTTTAAAATACATTTATAAAACTGACAAAATCTATTTATTTTATATAATATTGTTCTATACAAATATTTATATAAAAAAATATAAAATAATTTCTTTTTATTTTTAACTTTCAATATTTACTGTTAGTAATACAGAAACTTATTTTAGTTAATTATTCAAATATTAATTTATAATGCCTTATACAATTTATTTTACAATTTTATCACAATGGTTTCAGTTGTGATTATTTTGTATTTTTTATTATATAGAATAATTCTTTTCATTTTATTAGCAAAGGAAGAAATGAAGTGCATAAAATGTCTTCAATTTTTATAATGCTTTTATTAGGAACTTTTAGATGCAGAATATCATAGAAAAATTGAAGAAAATAAAAGGATAGCTGAAGAAATAACTGCAAAAAAAAGAGCAAAAAGATTAAAGAAGAAACAAAAATGGAAACAAAAGAAACATATAAAAATTACAAATGTAGAACATCATTGCAAGAATGAAAACAGTAATTCAGATGAAGAAAATTCAGATGAACAAGAGACAAATAATAAAAATGATAATAAATTTGGAAGTATATCTAATACTGAACTTGAGGATACATTAAGGTTAAAAGACTTACATGAAAATCAATCCGATCAAACGAATTCTCTTGTAAATATAAATAACAATGAAGCTAATAATACTGAAAATATATCTGTAAATATAAATAATTCAGTTTCTTAACAAAAATAATTAAATTAAAACAATACATAATAATTATGATTGTAATCTTTATATCTGTATTCAAACTTATTTTTAAAATCGTACAAAAAAAGATATTTGTTACAAATATAATAAAATTAATTAGGAATTGTTCTATAAAACTATTTAATAAAAGGTAACATTCTTTAAATGGATTGAAGAACTTTGTCTTCAATAACCAGTATAACAGTGAATAGGTTGAAAGTTTATTTAGGAGCAATTAATGAAAAAATAGTTCAATTAGATTAGACTAAAAGAAAAGAGCAATGTGTCATAAAAAATGGTTGTCTGTAAATCATGATTGCTTTAGTAAGGTTTTAGATAAAGAAGATAATTTATATAAGATAATAAGAAAAAAATACATTACACAGTGAAAATAAATATGAAGAAAAATATACATGTTCTATTATATATATTAAATAAAAAAATATATGTGTGTAGACGTATCCTAAATAAAATAAATATTTAGATATGAATGTTATATTTTTTTTATTTCCAAATAATAATAAATATACAAAAATAATGATATTTTTAAGGAAAAATATATAATTGCAAGGTATATTTCTTATTCTGACAAAAAACAAATTAAAATATCATAAATCTGTTTAAACTTGGCATCTTAATTAATTTACAAAATTTTTTTATAAGATTATAAGAATAAAATTATACAACACTGATGGAAGAATATGTTTTAAATAATTAATATATTTAGTTTATAATTTATATTTTATATCTTTGTTTTTACAGACTTTTCTATGTAAATATATGCTTTATATACTGTATACACAATTGGTATTACAACTTCAATTATTGGATACACATGAATATGTATAATTAATTTACAATTAACTTATTATATTTTAGTGAACTATACAATATTAAGTTAAAATAGTACTATTTAAATTGTCATATCGTTTAGTTCTTTCAAAAATATTTGCTAAACTTTGTGCAATTTTTCGTTCTTCTAATAATGGAGCAATTTTTACATATTTTTCTAACTGAGACTTTGCTTTTATTAAATTTCCCATTTTTTCAGGAACAATAATTTCCTAAAATATGTATACAATATGTAATTTTCTAATCCAATATTAAAAATTATTTTCAAAAACAAAAATGTAAGAAAGATATAATGTAATAATATTTATAGATTGGTTCTATAGTCCAATATCTTAAAAAGTAAAAATACATAATAGAATTATACCTGGAACTGTTTCACATAGTTAGAAACATCATCCACATGTTCGCTTATCTCTATCCAAAGATTTTGCAAGTCTGATACCTCTGTACAAGCAGCCACATGGCTAAGAGTAAGGCACAACTAAAAACAGATAACAATAACATTAATAAATACATAATTATAATAGATTTTACATTTAGTAATAATTTCAATTACCTGTTGAATAAGAGCATCACGATGAGGATACTCAATGTAACTTGGTACATGCTGAGAATTTTCAAATGCTAAGATAAGACTTTTCCATAAAATAACAATATATTTACCATAAGAATTACAAGAATATAATGCCCATGCAGCATTAGTACGCACTTTGAAGTTTGGACTATCGCAAATTAAAGTACATAATGCAGGAAACACCTGATCCTACTAAAACAATACAATTATATCAATCATAATAAGAAAAAATTAATGAAATGTGTATTTTGTGTATTACGTACTCTCCAAGAAGATACCAATATATTATCCGGATCATTGCTTAAAACTAATCCTAGAGCTCGACATGCATTCCAACGCACCTATAATGTGTAATATATCACAATGAATTAAAACGTTTGTAGAAAATAAAAAATAATATAAAAATGATTAATTTTATAATATCTTTTCAAGTTATGAAATATATTAAATAGTTCAAATTGTTAAACAATTGTTATCATATATGTAATAGTGTTTTTATATGCTATCATATCATTTCATATCAAGAAGTATATACCTTCATATCATTTCCTACAGTAGCACAATTTAAAAGAGCTTCCAGGCCTAATGATGTATCTTTCAATATATATTTATTAGGACATAAATATAGAATACTTCCAAGAGCTCGAACAGCATTGCATTTGACTTTAACGTTATCCTTAGATGCTTTAATACTGACTTGATAAATTTTTGGTAATAATATTTCCAAGGGAATAGGTTCTACATCTTCATGATTTCTAAAAGAAAAGATTTTTTACTTTCATAAATAGTTAAATTCTTTAACTACATAAATCAAATTTAATATGCCTGTAACTAACATTTCTTTACAAAGACAATCACACAAATTAGCTAATGCCCATGCTCCTTTAATACGAACACCAAGATTTTTATCATTAGCAGTTAAACAAACTATGTTAGCTAAGTCCATCAAAAATCCACTTTCTTCTTTCAATGCTGGTAGTGTGACTAACATTCCTAATGATCTTAGTCCAGCAGCTCTTACAGCACTTTCTTTATCATGTACTGCACCAAACAATATTGTAATAATTAAAATTGCTTTCTGTCTCTAAAAAACATTTATAAAAAATGTGTGAATATTGAGCATTAAAATTCCAATTAACTATATTAATTTAATATTAAACGAATTTACAAATTTGAGATATATTATCTTCAATGTTGCTTGGAATAAATTTAAATATTTAACTATCAAACTTGAAATTGAGTAAGTAAAAATTTTTGTTCTATTATATGAGTAAATGAGTTTTATAATGCTTATTTTATCTTAATCAAGATATCCCTAATAAAAATAAGTTGAGATACAATTGCATTTAATAAGTTTCTAAAGTTACTGATTTTAATCAGTTTACTTAATTAATTTAAAATAACCATTATAAATACTCACTTGAAGTTGTGCAAATACGGTAGAACTAATACTGCCTAAACAATCACATGCAGCTTCTCTTATTATTGTTTGCGGATGTTGAAGTAATTGTGTTATAGGATCAAATATAATATCCCAAAATATTGAAGCATTATTATCCTCTGAGTCAATGTTCATAAGACAGCCAGCCATGATTTCTAAAGCACGACATGCATGTAATATTACTTGTGTTTCAGAATCTTGTATGACTCCTACTAAAGTTGTAGTAATTAATTCCACATGTGAAAACACAAGACTTCCTGTACTAAATGCCATTCTACCAATCAGTTTTAGCGATTGGAGACGAACAGGTGTGCTCATTGTCTATAATTAGATACTTCATTATTTATTTTCTAAAATTATAAGTTTTAATATTCAAATGAAGTTTTAATCTTAAGTATGAATATACCTTATTCGATATACTTTCCAAACAAACATGTATTAAAACACAGATATTTGTTTTTTTGAATAATTTGTTATTATAATCATCTATTAAATTATTTTTGAAATCTTCAATATCTATTTCTTTTTCTTCACTTTTTTCTATATTATCACTAACATTTAGATATAGTTGATCTGATCCAACATTTATAGTTAAATGTCTTGCAAGTATTTCAAATATTTCTTGAGTTATTGGATCACAGGAAGCAATAGCCTCAAAAACTGATAATGCAGCAACACGAACTGTTGGATCTACATACGACATAATAAATATAACATTTCATTTTTGTAAGAAAATATATTAATAAAAATACCTTTGTGAAATATATATGGTCTACAATTTCTCATTAACTTCGTAGCAAGTCCTGCTTTCAAACGTACATATGGTGTACCTTGAATTAGAGCAGCAGCACATTTTAATCCATGAGTTAAAACAGCTACATTTGTTTCTTCATATAGAATCAAAGATAATGTAAAATGCAATTCTTTAATCATTAAACAAACTGTACCAAAAAAGGTAATAAAAGATATCTGTTGAACATCTTCTGCATGCATTAAAAAAGGCTTAGCATCTATCAGTAATTCTGTTAATGTACTTAACATGTGCTGTTTTACTTTAGATACAGATTCTTTTAAAATACTTCTAGTCAATACTCTAGCATCATTTCGTGAACCAGTAGCAACAATTTGTGGCCAAAATCCAAACATTTCACGACTTTGTGAATTTTCAACAAGTGCTTGCAATAACCGTGCAGTTTCCAATCTTACTTTAGAATCCATAAAGATGAAATTATTACTTTCAGTATCTGAGTTATCTGAATCACTTGAATATATGTTAACTCCTTTGCATTCTGGTACAATGTTATTTTTTGCTTCAGTAGCAACCTTCTTAGTTGGTTGTTTTCTTAATTTTGCTTTGTGATTCTTCAGATTCTTACATTTAGGAATTACATGAGTTCGTTCTGGGAGATTCATTACTGCTGGACAAAGCAATTGTGGTTTCATAGGAGGATAATCTTTGAAACCATAAAATAAAAATGCTTGTACAATTCCCAAAATTTCACCCATGAAATCAATGGTATGTGGTAACAGTTCATAAACTATTATCATTTGTAAAATATGTAAGCATGAACATAATATCTAAAAATTTAATTGACAATAACAAACTTTGTATGATTTCATTTTTATTTCACATCTATTACTTACTTTGGTATGATAAAATTTATTATCATTTACATACACGGAAGAAGAAACAATATTTAGCGTAATATCCTTGATAATACATATCAATTCTTTTGTTATGGGGGTGTCATTGCAACTCATTAGGATTCCTTCTATACAACTAATTGCATGATAATGAATTTCAGACCATTGTGTACTAGATGGATTTAAATATTTTTTTAACAACTGATTATCTTCGATTAATAACTTTAAAAACTGTAAATATATATTATTTTAAGTATTATGTATTTACAATTTTTTAACCATTATAATATAACAAAATATTTTTAAAAAATTTATGCTTACGTGTTTAATATTGTCAAATTGATTATTTATTAATATACTTTTTAGAGCTAACAGTATATTATTATGTGTAATTGGTAAAGCAGATTTAAAAACTTTTATAATCCATTGTTTAGAAAGTGTAAATGTTTGTTCTTGAAGTTTAATATTGTTTTGAGTTATATTAGCTAAAAATCTGCAAAAATTTTGAATCAAAACTGTTTCCATAGGTGTGATAATAGTACACAATTGTTTAATCAACAATTGCATTGCCTAAAATGTTGTTGAAAAAATAAAACAATAATTTTATACATTTATGTTTCAAATTAATAATCAGCTAAATTAAACTAAACTACTTAATAACTACTTTAATAAACATTATATCTCAAAAAAATAATAGTTACAATAACAAGATTATTTGATTAAACTTACATCGTTATTTAAAATTGTTAAATATCGATAATCAAAATTATTAAGGTCACAAAGATAAGTGTTGATCAACTTTGTCTCATCATTTTTCTTTTTTGTCAATACAAGTAATTTTTCTACTACAATATCAAATTTTGTCGTATAATTTGTGTAATTAATGTATGTTAAAGCCATTTTTTATATTTTATTTATATTCTTCTAAAAAAGACTATGTGACATTTTTGTGAGATGTATTTATTTTATACCAAATGTTGGTTTGCAAGAATTATACCATGAATAAAGTATAAGATAGATTTATCACTTTATAAGATTTTTTTTAACATTAACTGTACAAAAAGTTATGTATTTTACCGCTACAAGTATTGTAAATAATTTTTACTCAATTAATAAAATACAAATAAATTCTACACGATATAAAAAACTCTAGGTTTTATTAAATTTAAAGAACTATCAGTTTTGTAAAATTCAAGAAATTTTTTTTAAATATTATTATAAAAATGTTATTTAAATATTAATAATTACAAATTTAATTAAATATTATAACATGTATACATTTCATATTTTAATAAAAATAATTGATGCAAATATTTTTATAATCTGCAACACATTTTAAAAATACAAATATGCTTTCTGTTCCAAAATAATAAAGTAATTATTAATTGTTCCATTTTTACGTAACAAAGGTAAATAATTAGTAATATATATTATTATTCATTAATTTAATATAATATATATTTTGGATTAAATATAGAGGTATATCTAGAGAATTTTATTATAAAAAAATAACTTAATTATGACTCAGAATAGAAACAATTTATTTTGAACAGTTGGTGTTATCAATGCTTTATCCGGTTGTAAGTTGTGTTGGTCTTTTGCTTCCGGTAAACCATGGTAAGTGAAATGCAGTTTTAAATTTAACGCTATTACAATTGTAATTTATGATATTGACCTAAAGGATATTATTTTAAATAAAAAACATTTTTATTTTATTACATAGTTTAATTTATATTCATTTATATTTAATAATGCATAAGAAATATAAAAGATTATTTGATATAACCTTACATTCAGCACAATTTTCAGCCACATGGTATGGTGAAGTTCTACGTTATAAACAATTGTACATATATGTTTAAGCAATAACTAATATATAAATTAACCCGATTGAAGTAATTATTTATTATTATGAAAATAATGGGATTCTCTTTGTTAAATAGCCATTTCAAAGGTTCGTGGAATCTGGTCGTATCGCTTATGTGAGCGATGGAGTATATAAGGGTAAACTTGTTGCTATTGTGGATATCATTGATCAAAATCGGGTAAGCTATTTTCGTAAAAACGTTACAACTTTCATTTAGTGTTGAATGAAAATATTTAGTGTTCTATATTATTATTACTTAAGTTATTAAACGCGTTAAAATAATTTATTTTTAGATATCTTATGTTTTCAATTCTTAAAAACATGCGGCTATTTTTAACAAAATTGATTTTAATTGTTGATAATTGATTGTCAATTGTTGATTGATTTTAATAGTTAGTTTAATCAGATAGAAACATGATTATATGTAATCTATTTATCTTTATGGTACAACTACATTTATTGTCATTAGTATATAATATATTTAGGTATACATTATAGATTGATAATTTTTGAATTAATCAAAACAATGTATAATAGCTGTCTTAGTAATATAATAATGATGATCCAGTATTTTGATAGGAATTGCCGGCTGATTTAATTGATGCCAATGTATTATAACTGATACAAAAATGTTTAATTATTATATATTTAAGGTATATAATAACTGTTGTATTAAGTTTTATTCATGCTTGTAGGTTTTAGTTGATGGTCCTGCTTCAAATGTTCCACGTTGTGAGATGAGGTTAAATGAGCTTCATCTTACCAAATTTCGTATACGTTTTCCATATACTGGGTCCACTTGTGTTGTACGTAAAGCGTGGGAAGCTGCAAATATTAATAACCTTTGGAAACAGACAATGTGGGCAGGGAAAGTTGAAGCCAAGAAAAAAGTGAGTGTAATAATATATAAAAAATTAATACTTTGTGTTTGTTGTAATATGTGATAATTAACTGTTTGAGTCCCAGAGACTTTTAAAAGAATACGGTTGAAAAACCCGAACAACGCGATAGCGCTTGTCTTAATCGAGTGCGGAGAAGCCCAAATGGCGTGATAGCGCTTGTTTAATTTTATGTCGAAAAATCCCAATCGGCCTGATAGCGCGTATTGATGCTATGTGACTTACATGCATCAGTAAAGTTGAGCGCGCCACTTCGACAGTTGGTGATAGCACCGTCAGTTGTCCATAGCGCTCGAAGTGTACTGGGATTTTTCGACACAAAATCTGAAGAGCGTGATCGCGCTGCATGGGTCTCAAACGGTTAAAAATAGTTATATTTTAAACAATAAATAAAATATATTTTTATTTAATTTCAGCGTTTGGAGCTTAGTGATTTTGATCGTTTCAAGTTAAGAAAAGCAAGGCAGATCAGAAATAGATTGAGGACAGATGTGTTTTACAGATTGAAAAAGAAGGCTAAGAAAGCAAAGGCTGCAGGTACCAGTGAAAAAGTAGAAAAGAAGTGATTTTTTTATTGCTAGAGATTGCAAAATGCAATATAAATTTTAATTTTTAAGAAAGTAAAATATGTATAATGTATAATATATTTTTATTACATTCTTATTTTAATAATACATTATTGACATAAAATACTCTTACTCTACATTATAATTATATTTTAATCATTATAAATAAATTATGATACAATTAGAGAAAGAGAAAAAAGTGAAAACAAAATAGATAATACTGCACCAAAATGTTACTTATAAAAAGTGATTTAAAATTTACATAAATATTAAGATTAAGATCTCTGCATTAATGGAATATAGCTTTATTTATTTATTATTCCTTCTCGTAACATGTTTATTTTCATTGGTAACAAATTTACCAATTCTTTGCATAGATTTAGTTCAACTCCCATCACATCAGCCGCATTGGGGTATTTTTTCCAATAATCAATTACGAATTTATATGCATTATAACTATTTTGCATGTTTTCCAATTGAATTGTTTTGTCAGGAGTTATTATTTTATTGTACAATCTACCAAGGTGGAAATAAGAAAACAAAGCTGGTTGCACTAATTCATTAGAAAACTGTTCTGGTCCAGAATTAGAATTATGAATTTGTAAGGAATCGAGAAATGCTTGAAAATTTTTTATAGAACTTTTTACTAAGTGATTAATTTTTGTTAATGCCTGTGGTGTAGGTTTTTCATCAGAGCTTCGTAAGCGATCAAGTTTTATATCAAGAATGTCAGAATATGTTTCTCCTAATTCAACCCAAATTTGCCTGCAAGCAGATTCATAATAACGAGGATTTAATTCTTTGATAACATTTTCTAAAATATCTATTCTCTTTTTGTGCATTTTTGCTTGTCTAGCTTCGTTCTCCTCAAAAAATGACAAATATTTATAAGCTTGAGAAATACTTTGTACAATCAGTATGTGATCAGATGCATGATTTTCTAAAGTATAATATGTTTTTGCTTGCTCTAGCCATTTTTGAGCATTTAAGAAGACTAATCTTGCATCAGCAAAGTCTAACAAGTATTTATCAGTTATTTGATTGGCAATTGCTTCTATCTCTTTTTCTAAGATATTGAATCTTAAATCGTCAATTATTTTTAATTTTGAGAAATCCTTATTATCTATCTGATTATTATCCTGTTTTGACTCATTTTTTTGTAGAAGCCTTTGTTTTGATAAACTCATAAGTAAAATTCCATATTTAGCCCAACACCTGGCAACATCTGCACTTCTATGTTTAAAATTTTCCCATTCAGCTGCAAGTGCTTCATCTTCACCATTATCTTCTGTTTTTTGTTTCAACATATTTTCATATATTTGTAGTATGTAAGATGCAGCTGCTAAATGATGTTTTGCTTGAGGGAAACCATCATTTTCTATAAAATATTGTGATAATGTTGCTGCATTTAGTGCCCAATCAATATAATCTAAGTCTTGCATAATATCATTATGACCTAACTGTCTGCGCAAAGTCATATGGCAATATATTGCAGACTGATAATGATCTTTCAAGGAACTATATACCTGAGCTAAATAATATAATGTCAAGGTATGAATTTTTTCCATTATTTCTTTAGGATTTAATTCATCGTTAACCTGTTCGATTCCAAAATTTTGGACTATATTAATAGGGTATCTACATGGATTATTAGTATTCATAAAGTCATTGTACAATTTCTCAGCTTGATCTAAAAAACTTTTTGCTTTCATTGGTTGATTCCATCTAGACCATATAATACCCAATTGATTTAAAGCACTTAATATTGACAAAATAACTTTTGGTTCTAGTTCCTTATTTTTCAATAATTTTATACATTTCATGAATTGTTCTTCACCTGCTTTCAATTCTTCCGTATCAGTATGTAATAAACCAAGTTTCAAGTGCACTACACCAAGCATTATGATCACTTCCTCTTTCTCTTCCTCTGGCATGTTTGTTAAGACGTTGATCAGATCTGTTTTCAATGATTGTAAAATTTCAATTGCCTGATATTTTATTTTATACGGTTCGCATTCTGTCCTGAGTTTTTCATGATCATCCAATAGTTGTCGAACATCTTCAAATTTTGCTTGTACATTTGCAATTGTACTTTGTAAACAATTGGATTCCATACTAGTTTGTTTTTTTATGGTGTTAAATATGATTATAGGGAATTGGATTTAGTTATTTCTTTGATTCAAATATTATTGTAACAAATTCTCTTTGATGTTACAATGATTACCAACTATTGTACGATATTAATGTACATAACCTCTTCTTGAAACATCACTTGAGTATGCTCATTTAGCTGGCTATATACTGTTCTGGAAACGTCACAATATGGCGATTTGAATATTTGAACTTCGTTATAAGGCATGAAATTAATATTTTGATATATTGGAATAATTGTCCATACATGCTTATTTTTTTATTATTAACAATGATAATAGGTAAATAATTCATAGTTATAAAACATAGTTTTATATGTGGATTGGAAATTAATATAAAACTGCAATAAAAAATACAATTTTTCTCATACATTATTATTGTATGAAACTTTACTTGTGATTTTGATATAATTCAATATTTAAGTTTTATTTTAATTTATAGCACTTCGGTACGAGGATAATTATTTATGAAAGCGTTCAAATTGTAGAAGAAATTAGCAAAACACTTCTTTAAAGTGGTTTAGTAAGATTAATTGGAATAGAAACGAATCGTTATTAGTTGCGATAAATGACAAAAGAGGCGAATATCTGGCTAAGTGTGAAATCTGTTTATTAACAAATGAAAATGTATATGTTTAATGTAAGTTTCATCATAGCTGATCTGATAACTGGATTCTTTAACATTTTGCCACAATTTGCATGGAATATTACTTTTCGATAATTAATCAACTTAATAATATTAACAGAAGTTTTATTATTTCTTTCGCAATGCTTAGGTGGCGTTTAAAGGTATGTATACAAATTGAAATAATTTTTAAAAGTTATTTTTCTGTAGTTAGATAGTAAAATAAAAAATTCTTCTTTCAATACAAATGTTCTCAAGTGTTTATTAATTAAAATAATTTTACTAAACTTTCAAAAATTACTACGTAAGTGAAACATACGATTAATTTTTTAATCTTAAATGATTTATAATAATTTGACAGAAATAACTTAATGATAAAATTACACAAATGATATTATATGTATTATAATTATAATTTTATTATAGTTTATAAACATAACTAAATTGTACTACTTAACTTTTAAAAAATACCTTTTGTAAAATTTAAATGTTATTTACATTTTGATAACATGGAGTGAAAAAATGTCTTCTTCATTCGTCAATGGTAATTAGTATAATGAAAATAAAAAAATTATTTGAGACTAAAAAGCTCAAGATGTTACATATGATATGTAAAAATGAAAAAGGTACTAATGCTAAATAAAAAATACAAATTTGTTTGCAGGAGTGATCTTAATAATCAAACTATTGAATAATTTCACGAGTTGCATTAACCCTTGCATTTATTTATTATACAATCGTGAGCTACGGTTCTTAATCATTTTTTTCTCTAGACGAGGCATTTATATTTTGGCTTATGGTAAATATTAATTTATTATATTTAAAAAAATATCGTACAATTAATGATATATACAGAAATTTACATTAAACAGTGAACTGAAATTGGAAAGTAAAATTTTGGGTACAAATAAAGATTTATAATCTCTTATCTATATATAGTATGTGACTCAATATGTAAACACAATTGTATTAAAAAAAGACATGGTAAATTACAGTAATAATTACTGACTTGTTTATATTATTGACATTATAATTGATCCATTAATTGTTTTCAGATAGTTTTATAATAAGTGCGTTTTTTCAGTTAAAAATGTTTACCAGAAAATTTCTAAGGCATCATTGTAAAATCTTACTTCTTTTGGATGCAACTTTTATTTTATAAAATATTTCACAACTTTAATAATTTGATTTATTAAGTATTCTATATTTTATACGAAGGTATATCACTTTATATTTCTTATAAGTAAATCAAAGTCGTTAATATGAGTTATTTATAATATTATTTAACCGACTAAGAGCTCACGTAATTGCCATCGTTTTAGCGCTTTCCACTTCTAGTCGAACTTTCTTTCCCGTCACATATGTAAATGCTTAATTTTTCCATAAAGATACAATTTCCAATGCATTCTCGAAAACGATCGCTATTCTTTGCAATCCGTTATACTTGCATCGGCTGTCTCATTAATATTTCCATCGAGCGGGCGTCTATTATGTTTCAATGTTTGTATTCCCACTTTTATTCCGATTATCCCAGTGGTTCTCATTCGAGTCGATAAGAAGTAGAGAGGCTGCTGAAACATCGCATCTATAAATTACAATTGATTTTTGTACAATGTCGTTCAATAATATAAATCAAATACAAGATGATAAAAAAGGAGAAATAAAAATTTACGAACGCGTATTATTTGTTATAAGTAAATAAAAGGCTCAACATGACTTTAAAAGTTAGTTTATAAATCTAAAAATAATTTCTTAGTCTAAAACTAATGAACATTTTCTTATTTTGTTTTCTTGTTTATTAACTTTTGTATTTTAATTTTTGTAATACATTTACTAACGTATTAGATATATATTTTGGACATTCAGAGATATAATTCTATCGATTAATTAATCTCTAAATTAAAAGTTTACAAAATTTATTTTTAAATCCATACTCATTAAAAATTATTGTTTGTTTCCTGATGATAGATTTATTCTACTTGCTATTATAAGTTTTATAAATTTAAACAAATCTTTGATGTACTTTCATAAGATATCAATTTTTTTTTATGATAATTGAAATTATTTGATATACTGATCTAGCTACAATTTTACATCTCTAAGAAGTAAAATTAATCAAACAAAAATTAAAATGAAATATTCGGAAAGCTCAAATCTTTAATAAAAAAAAGGAAAGAATCATATTTGTATGTAAAAAACAATTATAAAAATAGAAATTTTTATTAAATGTGCCGTTTTAATATCTTTTGTAGTGATTAATATTTTAATTGTCAAATTTCTTTGCTAAGTTGATTAATAAATTTTTATGAACGTATCCATATCATATATACGAGTCTCATAAAATGTTATATAGTATTTCTACAAAAAATTCTGCTAAACTCTAAAACTCTAAACTCATTCACAAAAATAAGCATTAAATGTTTAATAATCACCTTGAAAATCCTTTGTTTCTATATTATAAAATATTCTTGTTTACCTACATAACTAGAAGAGGTAACATACGATCTCTCATAACTTGAAAATAAAGATCTTTTACATAAATATTTATTAAATATATTTAGTTTATTGTAATGAGTATCATATACCATAATTGAAGTTTAGCACAATTTTATTTGAACAGACTGTATATGCCCATCAACTGAAGATCATTCCTACTAATGGCAATTTCTTGTGAATTGAGAGCCTCTGTCGGAACACCTGAATACTTAATAAATGGATAAAATTAACATTAATAACGACTGTCTGTGACCGATCCACATCTTATCCAACGACAAACGAGTTCGACAGTCGCGTGTGATATATGTCTTAGGAAAGTTTCTCGAAGAAGGTTGATCAGCAGTACCTTTTGCACCTTCTTGATCAAACTATCCCAGGAACGATCAACAATTGGCATTTCTATTGATAAGTGCTCGATTCTTTGGTATGGATTCGGAAGAATACAGCAACGAATTGTCAAGGAACGAGGTAAAGTTTCCCTTCAACCCCTTGCTGAAATGGAATTCAAGAATTCAGGGGTACTTTCATTATCGGGTACACTTTTGAGCGGATTCCTTAGAACTTTTTTTGAGAAAGCTGTAACATCTACCATTTAAAAATTTTCCATTTGTTATGGTTTATATTTGAACTATGTTTTGAATTATGCTTTCGGCAAATGCTATTGGAAAAACAAGTAACATTAAACAACGATTAACACATTCAAAAGTTCTTGCTGTATATTTAAAAGTTTAATATTGTACCATTCATATGATTGTGATTATGAAACTTATATGATACTAATCTGAAACAAAATTAAGGTCAGAAATTAATTTCAAAGAAAATGACGAAATGATCTTACAGAATAAAGATCAACCTTTCTGCAAATTTAGGGACATTGTATCTTATAAATGAATCGAGATATTTGATATATCTATATGATTCTAAATGTGAAAATATCATTATGAATAAAATGTATTTAAATTGAAAAGCAAGAATTGAATGAATAAATGTTGTTGTATTGTAAAACAGGACGACAATTTTTTTCTATTTTTTAATTGGGGGTACTTCATTAAAGATTTTAAAAAATTATTTTTTGTACTTGGTATAAACTTAATTATTTCACAAAAAATATTTAGAGTAGCTTTTATGTCAATATTTATGTTTAATTATATTTATATAATATATATAAAATATTAAGAAATAATTAATCAGATATTTCGGTACTTTTCTTTCAGGATTATAATATATGGTTCATTTCGTCTAATAAATAATTAATTTTTTAACTCACTTTTTTGTTAGTTAACTAACGTGCAAAAGTAGAACCATAATGAATAAAATTTGAACTTATGAAAAAATCGGAATAACTTTAAATCTAAATTTTATAGAAATTGCTACTAAGATGTTATTCTAGCAAAAGGATAAAAAATTTAATCATAATCGATGTCGTAGTGCTGTTTTAATTGTCTCACTGGTGAACAATGTGAAAAAAAAAAAGGAAATAATCTGCACAGGATCTGTGCAGATGAAAATTGGTAAAAATTTTGAAAAATTAAAACAAATAAAGCTATTTGATAAAATTTTTCCTAATTGTCTGTTTAAACGAAAGAAAGTATTATATCTACGAATAAACACAGATGAAATCACGGCAAATGTTTAGCTTCGTATTTTTATTTAAAACATTTAATTACTTCCATTTTCTCTTGCTTATATTTTGTTAATTATCTTTAATTTACTTTTAAATTAAATTTAGTATAAATTCTTATAAAACTATTTATTTTAATAAAGTAACATTGCTAAGGAAAAAATTTCATTTAAATGATATATTGTAAAATAATTTATAAAATTGTTGATTTTATTACATTTGTTAACATACTAAGAACGTATTTGATTTTCACATTCAATCATGACAATAAACGACTCGTATAAATTTGTGATAATCCAAGCCGAAACCAAAGCATGAATCACATAATTTTAAACTAAATATCGACATAAATGTTTCGTTTTTAATTATGTAAAACTATAAATATAAGTGCTCAATATCGAAAATGTGAATAATGTGGTCATAATACATATCTTGAATTTCTCATGAAACATCTTGAATTTTCATTCTTTGGGTAAAGATGATTCACGAATTACGTCATAAAGAATAAATTAATAAGTGATAACAAATGATAGCGAGTTTTGCCAATTGAAAGTAAATTTTAAGTATAAACTTGCATACATTTTATGAATGCAAAGAAAAATATTTCAATAAAAATTTAAGACTGTAATCAATATATTAAAATTACATAAAAAGAAATACTATTATCTAAGGATCGAAGTTTCCTAAAAAAATTACTTTTTATTTTCAGTCAGAAAATGATAGTACTAACGAAGAATGTAGTCATTCGCCCATATTGTTGGATTTAGATAAAAATTCTAAACAGCAGCAACAAGAAATCTTAAATCAGGAAGAAAACTCATCGTCTAAATTATCCAGTATCAATCAATATTTGCAAGATCAGTTAGTAAGAAACGGACCAGGTATATTCATAATTTATATCAATGAATTTTGATGAATAATGTTGAACAGAATTATAAAAACTAATATCTATGTACACATGGAATGATTAATTTGTATACATATTTATGAAATGTTTATAAAACTCGTATTTTTGCAAATTTTAAAGGAAATTGTAGACATAACTTATTAAAAGAAATATCATTTATTTAATATTACTGTTCGAAACATGTCGTTTATTTTAACAATTATTTTTATCATACTTTGTTTAATCTTGAGAAATTTTCTTTATTTTAGTATATTCTATTTTTAAAAATTACTCAAACAATTAATTAATTATTTAAAATTAATTATGTCGGAAGTTGTATGAAATTAATTATTGTATCATTGTATATAAATTTAATGATTACTTGAATAACTTTAAAAAACGTAATCTTAAAAATCATATGTATTAATTCATTAAACAACTTTTTAATATTATAATTTTATTTAGATATATTTATTAATTTTATAACAATATAAGATTATAAAAGTTTAATAAAATATAAACACTTTATTATAAGTTACTGTTTATAAAATAATATAAACTTTTGAGAAGTAATATTTCAAAATTTTCAAAAATACTAATTATCAAAAGATAATTACAAAATAATAACAGATTATTTATTTTTCAGAAAATTCAAGCATACCTCGACAACAATGTGGAAGAAGGTCATGGCAGGATGAAAATTTTGAAAATCGCCAACAAAATAACGATCGAGTATTTGTGATTAGAGTTCCTGAACCCGAAGTAATTAATACTCATCCACATTTAGAAATTCTTCACGAAACCAACATTAAATCAGTCCAAAGAGAACCATCGCAAACGGAAAAAGGTAAAAAAAAAAGGAACATAATCTTATGGATATCAATAAATCATAAAACAATTCAACGCAAAAAACATTTATATTTTAAAGGTGAATTTAATAGGTAATAAATAAAAATTAATAAACTAAGTAAAAAATCATTAAAAGTGAAATTATGTTAATTATAATTTTCTTAATTATTTTAATTATAATTTTATTTTTCAGACTGATAAATTAATTTTTATAATTATTGACAGAAATATAAATATGTCCAGTTAATTTAACAATTCTGATTGAAAAAAGAGTAATTTAAGTAATTTTTAACACAAAATATCATAACTTTTTAGTATTAAAATTAAAACTATTATATACATACGTCTATATGATATCTTCTTATAGCTTTTGTGTATTATATTTATTTTATTATTTTTAGACTATAAAAAGTCAGCTTGCGATCGTGAGCGTACACGAATGCGTGACATGAATCGTGCTTTTGAACTTTTGCGTTCAAAACTTCCGATTTGTAAACCACCTGGTAAAAAACTTTCGAAGATTGAGTCGCTTAGACACGCAATTACATACATACGACATCTGCAAAGTCTTTTGGAACCGCAATACAATTACGTTTCGACTGTTCCTGAAAGGAGTTTTTATGCTAACAGCGCACCTGTCACTACAACTACTTCTTTAGAGGTTCAACACACACCCCGGTGGGAATCATTCGCTTATTATCGTTATGATTACCATGCACCGTTTGTTAATCCCTCGCCATCAACGTTACCTTCATCTATTCACCCCCGAGTACCGACAGACCAAGATGATCGACAATTTTCTTACGAAGCGCAACATTGATATTTTTACTGCAAAAATATTATTTATGCAGTAAAAATTAATCACATATAATTAGTTTTATGCTTACACATAATTAAATTTAATATATAAACAATAATATTTAATACTGAATTAAACAGACAAAAATATTTTGCTCATTTTGAATTTGTATATTGAAGAAATTTTCTAATTTTGTAGTACACTTCTACTTTAATTATCCTTAGTTACTAGACAAATTAAGATACAGAAAGTAAAAACAATTAATTAAGATTAATTAACAAGGAGAGTGCAAGTCCTTCGGGTCACCTATTTAGTTGAAACTTTGCAGGTTTGTAGATATTGTTGAAGCCAAGAAAAAAGTGAGTGTAATAATATATAAAAAATTAATACTTTGTGTTTGTTGTAATATGTGATAATTAACTGTTTGAGTCCTAGAGGCTTTTAAAAGAACACGGTTGAAAAACTCCGAACAACGCGATAGCGCTTGTCTTAATCGAGTGCGAAGAAGTCCAAATGGCGCGATAGCGCTTGTTTAATTGTATGTCGAAAAATCCCAATCGGCGTGATAGCGCGTGTTGATGCTATGCGACTTACATGCATCAGCAAAGTTGAACGCGCCACTTCGACAGTTGGTGATAGCACCGTCAGTTGTCCATAGCGCTCGAAGTGTACTGGGATTTTTCGACACAATATCTGAAGAGCGTGATCGCGCTGCATGGGACTCAAACGGTTAAAAGTAGTTATACTTTAAACAATAAATAAAATATATTTTTATTTAATTTCAGCGTTTGGAGCTTAGTGATTTTGATCGTTTCAAGTTAAGAAAAGCAAGACAGATCAGAAATAGATTGAGGACAGATGTGTTTTACAGATTGAAAAAAAAGGCTAAGAAAGCAAAGGCTGCAGGTACCAGTGAAAAAGTAGAAAAGAAGTGATTTTTTTATTGTATGAAATAAATACAAAATTATCTTATAATAATAGTATTGATCGTTTAATAAATACCTTTTATTATTATGTTAAAAAAAAAGAAGCTAAAATTAAGTTATGAATTTAAATAGGAAAAGATTAAAGTGATTTATAATTTTTTATTGCCAGAGATTGCAAAATGTAATATAAATTTTAATTTTTAAGAAATTAAAATACGTATAATGTATAATATATTTTTATTACATTCTTATTTTAATAATACATTATTGATATAAAATACTCTTACTCTACATTATAATTATATTTTAATCATTATAAATAAATTATGATACAATTAGAGAAAGAGAAAAAAGTGAAAACAAAATAGATAATACTGCACCAAAATGTTACTTATAAAAAGTGATTTAAAATTTACATAAATATTAAGATTAAGATCTCTGCATTAATGGAATATAGCTTTATTTATTTATTATTCCTTCTCGTAACATGTTTATTTTCATTGGTAACAAATTTACCAATTCTTTGCATAGATTTAGTTCAACTCCCATCACATCAGCCGCATTGGGGTATTTTTTCCAATAATCAATTACGAATTTATATGCATTATAACTATTTTGCATGTTTTCCAATTGAATTGTTTTGTCAGGAGTTATTATTTTATTGTACAATCTACCAAGGTGGAAATAAGAAAACAAAGCTGGTTGCACTAATTCATTAGAAAACTGTTCTGGTCCAGAATTAGAATTATGAATTTGTAAGGAATCGAGAAATGCTTGAAAATTTTTTATAGAACTTTTTGCTAAGTGATTAATTTTTGTTAATGCCTGTGGTGTAGGTTTTTCATCAGAGCTTCGTAAGCGATCAAGTTTTATATCAAGAATGTCAGAATATGTTTCTCCTAATTCAACCCAAATTTGCCTGCAAGCAGATTCATAATAACGAGGATTTAATTCTTTGATAACATTTTCTAAAATATCTATTCTCTTTTTGTGCATTTTTGCTTGTCTAGCTTCGTTCTCCTCAAAAAATGACAAATATTTATAAGCTTGAGAAATACTTTGTACAATCAGTATGTGATCAGATGCATGATTTTCTAAAGTATAATATGTTTTTGCTTGCTCTAGC